CCAGTCTCAATGGATCAGCCTTTTGTACAGAGCTTGCCTAAAAGATTTAAATACATTTGCATGAAGTTGATATAAACATGCATTAAAATCCTTCTACAGCAGGTGGCTCATTAAATTTTTAAAACTTTTGGAAGATGTATATCTGTGTATGGATGTATATATGCATATTTTATGTTATTCCCTCTTTGGACTCAGTCCACTTCCCCCAGTCCTCTGTGGAACAAGGAGAGGGGTAATTCAAAGTACACAGTGCAAAGCATCTGTTGCTGCTCTTAGGCTCTTATCCTTCAGTCTAGCCACCTTGCCAACCGTAAGAAAAGTATTCCTCCCTGGGAAACTGCAACTGAGCTGATCCAGAAAAGTATGTTGAGTGGGAGGTGTTGTTTTTGTTTTGTTTTGTTTTGTTTTTGCCAGATGTCCACCTTTTTTTTACATTTGAAGTGCCTCACCCTCTGGACAATGGCTGTTTGGGAGCGCAAGAGTAGGCAGTCCATGGAAAAAACACATGTGCCATCAGATTCATTTGTACAAAGCCATGGCTTATTGCTCAAGGAATGGGGCACTAACAAACTGCAAACACAAAAGACCAACCAATTCCTTCGCCAAAAACAGTCACTAGGGCCAATTTTCCATGACTGTAAAATTTTCTGCACTGAACTCAAAGTTTAAGGGATTTTAGTCATAGGCGATGGTATCACCATCTTTATATTAATAAATCACATTAAAATTTAATGGCCATGCTTACAAAAATAGAGACAATAAAGAATAATTATCTGAACACCAGAAGGTGGTAGAGTTTTCAGAAGCTAAATCTTTTTCTCTAAGCACAAAACAGCTTTGAGCAAGATTGATTAGCTCTTTCAGACAAGTATGCTAAAAGATGCAGAAATGAACTCATTGCTAAAGGAATATGATTTTCATTTTAAATTCAGATTTTTTTATTTTTATTTTTGCAAATTCTGGGAATATGCCAAAATTATCCAAATACAATCATTTTCATAGAATCATAGAATCACCAAGGTTGGAAAAAACCTCCAAGATCATCCAGTCCAACCTTTCACCAATATATCCCCACTAAAACATGCCCTTTAATACAACATCTAAATATTTCTTGAACACAAGATTTTAACCATACATTTTAACTATAGATGAGCATGCAGTGACAAAATATAACTGGACCTCAGCTCAAGAAAAATGATATAGTAGTTAAGATCTTCAAAATTATTTTTGATGAAGTGACGTAAATCAGAAATTGCAGACAGAGAAGGAAAGTGTTCCTAAGCCATCGATATTTTTGCTAAATTCGCTGTTATTGCTAAAAATATTAAGACTGAAACTACTAAGTGACTGAGCAGAACTCAAACAACAACAACAACAACAACAGGGGTGCAATTTCAGAACAACTCAAGCCAATCTCAACCCAAATTACTATAGTCCTCTCTGTCTCCAGATGCATGTTTCCAGCCCCTCCCATATACAGCACCAGGAACCAGAGTGGGAAGGGGCTGGTTCAGCAGGTGTAGTCAGGCGAAAAAGAACTGCTTATTCTGCCCAGTTAGTTTTGAGCTCACCATCATCAGAAGTGCCAAGAGGGTGACAGCAGTGCAAGTTATCATCAGCTTCAGCCAGACACTCATATGTGGCAGGTTTTGGTTTGGTTTGTTTTTTTTTGCTGAGTATATTATACAGAGACTGTTGAAAATCAAGCCTTTAAAGAGCTAACTACATAAGACTTGTAAATAGAAAATACTCTGTGGCAAATGTTTATACATAGGGCTGCCCTAAGAAGCCTATTTTAGAAAAAAGCTTCATCATCTAAAAGCATTCTTTGAAAAGGGTTTTCAAAAATCAGCATATTCTGATGCAATGCATGCTATCCTAGCCAGGTGGCAAAGATCTGTGTGAGACCTAAAAATAGGATGAGAGGAAGCACTTGACTTTCTAACTTAAGGCTCTAACAAGCTCATGAAATAGAATGTGTTGGACGGCAGAAGTGAATGAGAGAGATGAAGCCAGAGAGAAAGAAGATATATTTCCATGAACATGGTAAGTTACATTCACTACATATCTAAACAAAAATCAATTTCAGTTGAGGGTGCCACCAAATAGAGCACTGTTAGGTTGCTACATATGTCGCTGTAAAAACTTCTGGTTTCATTTTTTTTAAATGTATAGCATAGATTACAATTTTTAACTTATACACGAACATAGTCATTTTTAAAGAAATAACGTCGGGGAAATCAGTATAGGCTTACTGATTTGCCTGTGGTCTTTTTATCATAAAAATGTATGTAATTCTAAGATCATTTCATGAATCATAGCAAACTCCCTAGCCCAAGCAGCTGCTGCAATTTAGGTCTAAACTTTTCAAGAGATCCAATTACTCAGTATTTTAGATGATAATGAATAATTAATTTCTTAATAAAGATTCCCTCAATTCAAACACTTTCATAAGAACAGTCATCAGGTTATCTGAACAGATAGTTTTACTTTTCTTCATTGGGAACACACAGATCACCAGTAAGTAGCAGAATGTGCCAGCTCATTTTGGATCTTATGGGAGCTGGTGAGAGATTAAATAACCATCAGTGACACTGATCCTGCTGTTGCCTAAAGGAGGGACCAGATGATCTCCTGAGGTTTCTTTCAGTCCTACAGACCCTACATCATAGAGTTTACTTTCCCATACCAGCAGATCAAAAAACTTGGGAAAAAAACAACATATCTTCATGAATAAAGCAGTGAAAATTCAAATGCTACAAAAAACTGTCTACATATTCGCAAAAGTCATAATTCCCTGCTTCATAATTAGTCAGTTCTCAGGAAGAATATTCATGGACAAGGAAATAACATGTTTAGAGCTCATCAAAATCCACTGTAAAATTACACAGCAAAGTCCATGTAGTAAGAGAGAAAGTATGCACATTAGATCTTGATTGAAACTTTTCCAACAGTAACTTTTTAATAGCTGTATCAGTATGCCTTCCCATACAACTCTCCCTTGTGCAAATGAATGATATCTTTCTTAGTAATCAGTAAAATTTATCTATAACTGCATGTCTGGCAGGAAACTGGCAACTTGTTTATTCCCAATTTCTAATGCATTCAGAAATCAGCTTGTTTGGAGATAATACAAATTATTAACTATTTGGGGCACAAGCTACATTCTGAAAGTATCTGTAATGATATGCAGTTAAAATAGATGCTTATCTTGTCTCACAGCTTGAAGTGGCCATTTCTTCACCAACTAGATCACATTACAGTACAAACAGGATTCATCATTAATAAAAGAATTACAGGCCAACAGAATGTACCTTTTTCATAGATGTAGAGCAAGTGGCATATCTCTCTCTCAATATTTTTTTTTCCCTTAAAATCATGTCGTCCTATTCTTTAACCTGTACCAGTAATTACTCAATTTGCTCCCCAGTCATTTTTGTACATATCTTCAAATTCTATTAGCTTTGACAGAAATAAATCGTATATTAGGTATTGTTATGCTTTCTTGGTTACAGCTGAGGAAACTCACCATTCCTAGATGGCTTTATGTGAAATATCTTATAAAGCTTACCACATGCCTCTGTGACATGTATTTCTGCTTCTGTTACACAAGATGATCCCTTCACTTTGATTTCTCCCATGCACAGTATCTCAATTCTGGACAGAAAAACAGCATGAGATTTTGCTTTACATCCAAAATTTAGAGCTGTCCAGAGTCACAGAATCATTTAAAGCTTTCATCTGCTAATAAGACAGCTCAAAGAAACACAAGTGAGTCACCATTTTCGCATCTTTCACTACAACACTGATTTTGTGCTTCTGTTTTATGTTCCTTTTCCCTGAGCCTTCAAATTCTAGATTCAAATCATCAGCATCCACTCTGTTCACTGCACGGCCTTCCTCTGCCATGAGATCAGATAAAGAACACATGTTTCTGTCAGACATTTTAGAGTTCACCCAGGACATCTGGGCAGTATGCCCACCAGTCTAGCTCATGCTTGTGCCAGATTCCAGTTGGACTGCATCCAACATTGGTTGGATGATGAAAGTCCAGATAACAACAAGCCCAGAAGTCTGCTGTCCTCAACATCCCCCTTCTCAGAAGTGTTGCTGAAGCCTCCAACTTCCCCCCCCCCCTTTTTTTTTTTTTTTTGTGCATGGCTGCATGCCACAGGGGGAGAACAAAATAAATCACAAGGAGTCCCTGTGTAGAATAAATATTTCTGGTTTTACCTCATTTGGCAAGAGCGACTTGAGACATTCAGATGAGACATACTGTTTCATACTGCGAAAGTTTTTAAGATAAGCTACCAAAGTTTTTTGTCTTTACTGCTCACCTTAGCTGCAAATTGTTTATCCCACATTACTTGGCTTGTTTATAAGTCTGACAATTGAAGCACTAAGCAATTGTGAAATCCCAGCTGTAGGAGTGACCAAGGAGATCCAAAATCAACACAGAACAAATAAAACAATTTCCTACAGCTAAACTTTCCAGCTTCTAGCTTATGAATAGCACACATTATTTAGAAATACAGTCAACCTTAAAGGCTGAAAATATCTGCTTCCTACTTGAAGTTACTATTTCAGACATGTCTGATTCTGCTCTCTTAAGCACAATCAGTTTAGAAATTGTCTCATGATTCAGTACATACACTGCCTAGTGACTTTCAAGCCACACATTATCATTATCAATAAAGTGGGATAGTTGCCTCTTTTCTCACCTGACAAGTTTTAAATTTCATTTCAGTCCCTAATCAGGCAGAGAGTGCAGTACATTGGCTAATCTGAGTTCATTTCTGCTCTACTCAGTGGAAACAAGAGATTAATTTCCAATAGATATGAGTATTTTCAGAGAGACTACATTTGAACAAAGCACAGATTTCAGCTAAATGCTAACAAAAAGAATAAGGAAGATTTGTAATAAGCAGTATGCTCACACAAAGCAAGAAAAAAAGCAAAACAATGAAAAAGAAAAAAAAGCATAACAGTGAAATATTTAGGTATCTATATATTCTAAATGATGTGTTTGACAATGTTGTAAACTGGCTGTGGAGGAGCTGTCAGAGATATAAGAGAGAAAAAAGACTTTCAGTTGACATACAGAGTTAACTTGCCAAAGCTTGTAAAAAACTAAGTGATTTTATCATTGATCAGGCAAAAGGCAATAGGAACCCATACTTTGCTATTAATATCTCTGAAGCAATGTTCCTGCAAAGCTGCCTGTGGCCCCACATGAGAGGTGATACAGTTCTTGTGCTTCTCTCTCCGTGATCTCTCTTCTTGTGTGGACAAAGATGCTGTTTCTCGCAGGATAGCTTGTGCAACCTAACAAAGAATATGTTATACACACATAATTTTTAGTTCAAGTCACAGCTAGAAGAATCAAGCAATTCATGAGGTTTTCTGTTTTTAACAAAAATGAAGTAATCTAAGTACAGTGATAGCCACTACCATGCAACACTTCAGCAGTAGGTAATTTCAGATTTTCCTTCCTAAAGAAATGCCAACACAGGGTGTTAGTCTCTCACTATGAAAACACCAGGACTAGCATAGCTCAGGATCAATATTTAAAACCTACATATTTAAACAAAATGAATGAAATTCCACACTTTGTTCTCCTAGGGACTGAGACTCAACAGCACCAGCTATGACAATCCTTGCCCATAGCATCCTAATATCTTTATCAGCATCACACAACAAACTATATTATCATACAACAAAAAAATTTTCACAGGTTTGAACAGTAATTCCACAGCATCACATGTACCAGAGCAATAGAAATAATGTCGTCTGCAACAGTAGCCAACTGGCTTCTTGTTACTCTTGCTTTTTTTTTACATTTTTAATCATTCTGCGTGTGACTAATTTCTTCTTTCTGAACTTCATAGTTAACAAAAGAATGAATTACATGAATGTATATGTTTGGGAAAATTAAAAAACAAACTGAAACATAACATGAAAAGACATTTTAAATGGAAAATATCAATATTAGATGAAAAATCTCATGAATTAGTACACTGAAATGAAATAAAAAGAGAGACCAAAACTTCTACACTCCAGGAAGCAAGGGTCTGGTTAATTGATGTATCTGACTTATTTTAAAGAGGCATTACTAGAAATTATATCTGCACATTAGAGAAATACCTAGGAATAAAAGGCTTGATTTGTTTTTCTCCTAGGTTTAGGCTCTCTGTGGATAAATAAAATTTATCTCACCAGACTGCACCATCTGGAAGATAATTATCTGTTCCAGTCACCTCAATTCACATATGATGAAATGAATCCCTCTTTAAAGGCACATATTTTTCTCCCTTGAATATGTAGAAAGATGAAATGACCCACTCAAACCAGATCTTTGTCTTTTGATTTCTGGTCAGAATCATTTAATTTCCCCTAAACTTGCTGTCTCCTGTGTAAGAGGGGAGTAATGGAATTCTCCCTTCCTTTACCTCCCTTTAACGAAGGTACGCAATTACATCGTAAAGTAACAATTAACCCTGCAAGTAAATTAAACAAATTGGACATTAAGAAAAAAGAACAATAGAACCTGTTCAACATGATTAAATCTCTTTGATTTCAGGAGTTCATCGACACATTTATACTAATCAGTTACATTTTCCAACCTGATAGTCTCTCCTGCTCCATCCGAGTGTGACTCCTATTCAGGGGTTCACTCTGTGCTTTTCTAAGGGAGGCCACTGTTTCCTTCCCTGAAATTTTACTGTACTAAATAAGAACTGAAATGAGGTTTAGTTAAAGGTCTCACTATATTTATTGCCAGAAAACAGCCTGCGTCTGGCTAAAGAGCTGTTTTATTAAAAAGGTCAATGACATACACGAAAACCAGAGTTAATTTCAAGAGACTTTAATTGGCTTAATTAGGCCAGTGCAAATCTGTTACCTAGGCTGACTCTCTAGTTAGTGGAGGGAGACAGACACCATCTGCCCCTCTGTTACTGTCAAAGACAGGCTGGTTAAACCCCTTTGTAGAGGTACTCATCTCTTGGATAACTAATGTTAAATGGAAGAGGGCCACTCAAGGAATATATTTAAACATGGCTTAGTGTAGACCTGATATTTCTCCCCTTCAGTCTGAGCAGGGCAGGAATGAAGTGACAGTATTCAAGCAAAAGAAAAACTAAGCATAAATTATTCAGGCAGTATTAAACACAAAGTCTTACAGTACCGGTGTCTCTGATTTTCTGTCAACGAGATTCACAGTTCCTGTTTTTCTTTCTGCTTTCAGCCTCTTCTGTTCTGAACCTCTGAGCTCATCTCGAAGCTCCATGTTCTGCCTAGTCAGCATCTCAACCTGGTCTCTTAGCTTGCCATAGGCAGCATGCCAGCAGGACTCATTTCTCCTGAACTCCTCCTGCAGTCTTGTAATCTGTTGCTTTAATATCTATCAGAAGAAAAAAAATAAGTGTCATGTCATTGCCTGCTCTGGTCTAGGCATGCCAACTTTACATTCACACAAGGAACTATGGAGCCCTTTGTCATACTTGAATTCCTGCAATATAAAGACAACACATTTGAAGTAATATTAAAAATATTGCAAACACCTATCATCTTACCAAGAGGTGAGATATTCTTGTAAAGGAAGATCAGGAGATGTAAACTAATAATGCAAAAAACAAACAAAAACAAACAAACAAACAAAAACCCCACACCATTAAAAGGACACACGGTATGTTTCAATGGCAAAAACTGGTAGTTCATCGGAACTTCGTGTAGTGTGATTAGCTCTAGATGGTCCTTACAGACACAGGGGATTGCAAAGACATTTTTTTCTGAGTTCAAGGAAGTGAATTAATGGCATTTGTTACATTTTGATGAGGACCTCTTGCTATACATTTCCATTATTTTCTCCTATTCTCTTCTCATTCCATCATCCATGGTGTTTCCAACACTGAGTCCTCTTCCTTTGGAAGCATTCATGCTGGATACTGCAGCTGCAACATCAGTAGAGTTTAGCCAGAAATCTGCAGTTTGGTCTGTAATCAACCATCATGTACATTCCTTCTTTTTAACTTTCCCTTCACTTATGTATCCGTCCAGTGTGATTATACAGACTTAGTTTGTTACATACCCAACTAGGTATCACCAAAGCACCTCAAAGCCAAAGGTCAGGACAGTTTACAAGAAAAAAGAACTACTTCCCAGCTCAGGGATGACAATGCAGAATAATGGCCACTGAAATAACAATGCTTGATGTCAAGAAGTTGTAAAGCACACTTTGACAGGAGATAGAAATGTTTCAAGACTCAACTTAGATATGGGAAAGCCAGTACACAGAGGTACAAAGAACAGGGGGGCTCCCTGATGCTTCTGTACAAAACAGAAGGCACAGTTCTTCAATTTATTCTTTTTTCTTATGTAAAGAGAGCAAGTTGTACATTTAAAACAAATCACAGTAATGTTTTTTAATACAAACATCTTCACTGTACACACAGCCATCTTCAGTGAGCAGTACAAATGAAAGGACTCAGGTCCATATGATACCTGAACACAAGAACGTTCACTGAAGAGAACAGCATTTATTTTACAGCTTACTTGTATTTCCTCTGATTTCACACTTTCTCCAATGACTCTAGCTGTTCCTTTGAACTTGCTATGCACCTTTGTGTCAGTTTGCTCTCTGTTGTATTGCTGGCCCCTGACAGCCTTGAGTTGGTCCATTCGTATTCTGCTGAGAAAGTTTAAAAAAAAAAAAGAGTATTAGATTGGCATAACTGTAACAAAGGACTGTCTCTAGATGTGCTTCCTCTAGGCATGAATTTTGGGGGGCTTGGGCATGTCTCAGATATACTAATACTGCTGAGAGTGGCAATAAGTGATTAGCACTTCTCAAAACAGAGGTTGGAGAACTCACGCATCACTTGGAGCACTTGTACAAGACCAGCTGCAAAATTTATTCTATTGGGCAGATGGAAGTACATTTATTCATTTAATTAATAATTAATTTAATTAAAATTTTCTGATAATCTAAAGACTATGAACTTAAGAGACTCATAGTCACATTTGCTGTGTACAGGGAAAGCCACATTAAGGCAGATTTGCAGAAGGCACAGCCTGTTCCCTAGCACCACACCTATGAGGCACCTCACCATGCAAGGCTAGAGACTGAGCTATACTTCCATTTGCTTGGTCATCCCCATAATGAGAACAGCCATGGATCTGCATGAAAGGGGCTGAGTATATTACTTATAGGTGAGTAAATTACAGGAGCCAAATATGAGAGGCCATCACTAAGGCGGAATTTTGCCTTCATACCCAATGTACCAAGGCATGACTGGTCAGGAAGCATGCTTAAAAACTCTGCAAAAGCTGTAGAGCATTATTTGTACAACCAGGATTAATTTCAATTTGATATTAAATTATTTGTTAGTTTCTTGCTTCAGTTCACTTCATGACTTACAGCCATCTGACTATCTCTATTACTTGACAGCTACAGGAGGCAGCCATGACCTCATGTTTTCCTCTCCATAATGGAGTTTAGCTATTTGACAACAAAATATGAAAGCTGACAATAACAGTAGGAGGCAAATGAGCTCCCCATATCCTGCTGCTCTTTACAATTTATTACTTTTATTTTTTTGCTGTTTTCTCACTTAAATAAGCCAGTCTAATATTTTCATTAAATGCATGCAAAAAAAATTCTCAATGTTCAATTGAAGTATTATTTTTTTTTGCATTATTCTGGTTAAATCGGTATATACAGCCTCTGCTTACTTATGTGTAGCTTGCCACTGCTCCAAATCCAGACCAGTTGCCCTGAAATACAAGATACAAGAACAAAGATGGAAGATCTACACAAAACATCTTCCACTGACGAGTACTCTCTTAAGTTTCTGCAAAACAGAAGCCAGCTGGCTACTCCCTCCAAAATCTCAGCTGATATCAACCTCTTCAGAACTGTTCATGAGTTGCACCTGTACAAATAAAATTAACAGAGCTGGAGCATCAGCCCAAGTGTACAGTAGCTCACAGAGCCATATTGCTAGTACGTCCACAGGTCTCCACCCCACGCTGCACAAGGCAATGCTGGGCAAAGTCTGGAGTTCAGTGAAGGACAGGATCATGCCTGGCAAGCAGCTTAGTTGCAGCTCCCCAGTCTCTAAGACAGGTTAGCTGTACAAAAGTGTTGCACTGTGTCCCTTTGGCTCAAGGCTATAAAACAGCCCCTGGCCTTGAAAAAAAGTAATAATGAAAGAACCTGGAGCACACACAGTACTTCTTTGAAGCCTCAGACAGTCTGTTCACACCCCAGCTATAAACTAAAAGCTAGGTGCAGAGATGTAAAATATTAGAAAAGCTAAGTACTTGTGTCAACTCAAACCCTTGCATGAATCCCAGGCATACCTCTGCCTGAGGCACATAGCAGCAAGCTGGCTGTGAGGCAAAAAGTAAACATGTAGCAAGGCTTTCCCAAGAAAAAAGACCACTACTGAACTCTCTGACAAATAACTAAGAGCCAGCAGCATCTCCCTCAGCAGTGGAGCCACAAGCTGCGTTCCAGGCTCCCCCAGGCACTAGATATGCACCACCAGCTACACTCCAACTGTTTTCACTTTCTTGTCTATATTATTTGTGTCTGCAAAGGCTCAAAAACAAAGCACTTTGAAACAAAAGAATGGACGGACTAGGCAGGTCCAGGCATTGCTCTTAAAAGGGTTTTCACGGCTTCCAACAAATTTAAGTCACCAAAATGGCCGAAGTAACTTGCTTTGGATGTAGCTGCCACCTTGTGCTCCTTACTGGTTTGAAAATAACAAAGCAGACTGCATAAATCTGCATAGGGCAACACAGCCAGGGAGGATAAGCTGCCTTTCACAATTAGTTTTAACTCATAAATTAGAAAACTGAAATGATGCACACATTATACTAGGCATGTATATTTGGATAAATAGTTGTGTGGACATATAAGGGGGTTACTGTGGCTAATGACATGAATAAATTTAGTGAAAGCTCTTTTGAAAATCTTCACTGTTTTTAAATAAAAATGAAAGCCACTGTCAGCAGGCAGACAATCCTGCACTGCAGTAATTCTGCACCTGTGCGTCACTCCACAGCCCAAATTTAAACCAGTAAAGGGAAAAGCAGCACCTAATTTCATTAGTAGCTTTATTAGCTACCAAATCCCACAGATATTCACATCTGAAGCACATATCACAGCCAGCTGGAGATCACCCAAGCTGTTTGCAAGATCACAAACTAGAAAAATCTTTATTAAAGTCATCCATTTTTAAGACACTGAAAGCATTTTGCTGAAAAATACCTATAAAAAGAAATCAAACAAACTGACATATGTAAGTCAGAAAATACCATTTGGCAGTAATCCTATGGTCTTTGAAATCAAGAGGAATGGGCAAGCAGATGTGAAAAATAATTTCACAGAATCACAGAATGACCAGGGTTGGAAGGGACCTCAAGGATCATGAATCTCCTGCCACCAACCTCCTGCCACAGGGCAGGGCCACCAACCTCCACATTTAATACTAGACCAGGCTGCCCAGGGCCCCATCCAATCTGGACACCTTGAACACCTCCAGAGACAGGGCATCCACAACCTCTCTGGGCAGAACTTCCCCCTGACATCCAACCTAAATCTTCCCTCCCTCAACTTAAAACTATTTTGCCTTGTCCTGCAGTTATCAACCCTTTCAAAGAGCTGATTCCCCTCTTGTTTATAGGCTCCCTTTAGGTACTGAAAGGCTGCAATGAGATCACCCTGCAGCCTTCTTTTCTCCAGGATGAACAAGCCCAGCTCCCTCAGTCTTAGTTTGCATTATCTATTAAAATAAAAATCAGTAAGTTATTCTTTCTTGGCACTGGTTCAGAACCAGAAAAGTGAAAAGGGAAAGTATCACTTCTGTATCACTTCTGTGTTTATGGTAGACAGCACCCAAGCTTTCTGACAGGCTTCCTCACATTAAAAAAAATGTATATATTTGATTTGACAATAAGCTTACTAAATTTTTATTACAGGCATTTGTATTACCTCTAATTAGTTACAGTTGAGAGGACAATTCTGCTTCTTCAGAAAAAAAAGTGTTTCTGAAATTATAATGTTGTTGGTCACATGATATGCACTTTTGATAACTGGAAACACAAGGTACCCTGATGTGAACGCCACAGGGAAAGTTTATCCTTTACTCCATCAGATGCCTATCCCCTAAAACAAATTATCCTGATCCTTACAGATTTCAGTGTAATCTGAATACGTTCAGCAATTTACACAAAGCATTTGTCATTACTCAGCTTTAAGACCCAAACTGTACCACAGTTTTCAGAGTTGGCCCCTTTGGTTAGGCATCTTACTTTTTATCTATTCATCGAGGTAAGTGTTTCAGTTCTCAGGGACAACATAGATGCCATTCAGACAAAGCTAGCTACTAATTATGGATTTAGCAACCTGATTTTAAGGTTGCTAATGGAAGTACTGGCTTCAGTACATGCTCAAATCAGTTCCTTGTGTATATAGACCTACCTGAGAAAATGCATTGCTTTGTCCTGTTCTTCTTCTGCTCCAGTCAGTGAAAGGGTTCCGCCATGATATACACCAGTTTCTAATCCTCTGGAAAGGATGTTCTGGGTTTCTTCTACAAAGATATCTACATTAGCACTGGCTGCATAACTGCAGTAAGTTTTACTGATGAATCTGTCAAACAGAACTAACTTATCAGAGAATAATTACACAAGTATTCAGACTCCAACATAGTTCTTAGTAGTGCAGTCCGAGCCCTGCAGGTCATGATAACTGAAATGGATTTGGGGGATATATCAATGTCAGCTGTGAATGTGGTTGTCAAGTGATAATTCAACTTTATTTTGAATGTAGCTTTTACACAGTCCTTGATGCTCTTTTTGGAACAGCTTAGCAATCTGTGACAGAGTAATTAAGAGCTGTCAGGAGTAAGTATTCCTGCCCTACAGTGGAAGCTGAGAAAAAAGAGTAAGAACCAATTTAATAAAAAGGTCTAAATTCTTTCTCAGCAGAATACCATTTCTTTTGCAGAAGTAAGATGACCGAGCCAAAAATGATTAGGAGGATTTCTGGCTGAAGAACTGTGACACTATCCAGGACAAACTGAGAGAAGATGCTCATAGGAAAACATAATTTTCTACTAATACTGGGCTCTCTGTGTCTGAGGAATAAAATAAGCAATTGTGAGAAATTATTTTGCCCAGCCTGTTGTATCTCACATTGTCTCTGAGAGGGGTAAATAGAAAACAAGAACTTCTCACTGCAAAGAATCAGGAGGTTGAATATACATAAGCTACCAGAAATTCTAGCACTGATTCCAGGGACTGACTGAAACTTCACCCCATGAGACTGGTAATGGGATAAGTCTGCACATGAAACTGCATCTCTTAGCAACACAATTAGGAAAAATGACCAATGACATAGAGAGTCAAGCATAACTAGGGGCTTGCAGGTATTTCTCTCCCTTCCTTTCTGTTTTTAACAATTTCTGACTGAGAAATACCAACAGAGATGAGCATATACCTAGGGAGAATAAACAGAATCAAACTAAGAGAAATTTAATTTCTGTATTGAAAAGAAATGGAAACAAAAACTCAGGTAGCTCTTACCTAACATATTTGTAGGCAGTTTATTCTGTGGTTGCTTCACTGCAGGGGCTCCTTTAACCCTAAAAACCACTGCTGAGGATGGCAGATTAAGGCTTGTAACATGCCTGGCCTTTGATTCAGGTTCATCCTCTCTCCTTTTGGATTTTGTGAGATGAAATGCAGAATGCTGAAGAGAAGAGTGAGCCTTGCTCCCTTTCAGGTTGACAGCTCCAGTGCTGGAATCACTGCTGCTTGTGCTGAGGGAGAGACTTTGATGTCTTGAGAGTGCTAGAACATCTTGTTTTCTTGAGGAGGAACTGATGTTCTTTTTCATGGAGATTTGTTCAGTTTCACTGGGCTCATCACTAGCATAATCATTTTCAGAGAGATCCAAATGTCTGTCAGAATGATCTGCTACCTGAGGCCCATGCTGGGAGGGATATTGACTGCAATGAGATTTGGGGTCATCATCACTACTGGAGGATAAGCAGCCTGACCCATGGGATGAAGATGCAACATGCCATGTCATGGCAGCTGTCCCGTTCCTTTGCCATTCCTGCTCGGATGAGCTTCCTTGCTCCACAGTCTCAAGCGAGTTACAAGTAATTTTTATGATCTTATCATTGACCTTCTTAAAACCAGTGTGGATTTGTCCTTTGCTTTCTGGGCTCTGGCTCCCTGAAACAAGTTCTTGTGGGCATACCTGCACATGCTTCTGGCCCTGTGTGAATGCAGGGACTGCACTCCACTCTCCTTTCCTCATACGTTCTGATTCTATACCCTGAAGTGTAGAACACTTTTGCAGGACTTCCAAAGGGCTTTCTTCTTCCTCTCTGAGCTCACCCTGTAGAAGCTGATTTGTTCTACCTAGGTTTATTTGCAGTGTATCCTTCATAAGTCTTCCATCAGTTCTGTCAGCTTGCTCTAGGGAATCCTTGTGATTAGTTTCACTTTCCCCACCTAATTGTAGGTTCATTTCTGTTGTTTCAGGACATGAGTTCATGATTTCAGTCCACTTCTTATGAGGTGAGCCAACAGCATCTTCATCTCTCCTAATCACTACTTTTTCTTCTGCACTTTGCTCCCGTACTTTCACTTCACAGTCAGTCTGAGCCTTAATTCCCTTCTCAGCTAAAGCACAGTTTGCCTTTTTTCCATGTGTACCTATATGCATGGAGCTGCTGACTTGCAGATTTACATGAGGGTATTCCCTTGGCTGCAGTATCCCTGCATCCATTTGTCCCGGCTGGGAGAAAAGACTCCAGTGCCCCACATCAGTTCTGGAATGCTGGCTCACTTCTTTGAAAGGCTTCTGTTTACTTTTTTTGACCCTTACAGTACCTTCTTTTCGCTTCAGAAAACTCTTCCGAGGTGTTCCTTTTGCCTTGCTCTGAAAAAAACAGCAAAAATAATGACAATCATAATCTGAGATTCATTCATCAGAAAAGTATTTATGTTAATTGAAAAAGCTGAGACACCAGAAGTCTTACAGTAACTGGCTATGGATGACTGAGCTCATGAACAACCGTCTGCAGACTACAAAGAAGGTATGAGAACTTTTAATATGAGTCATTGTGTGACACCTCCATTAAATCCTAAGGAGAGTCAGAACTTAGACGTTTAGTGCTAAGTGTTTGGATGGTCAAAGATGAGAGTTTTCATCATTGTTTTTGAAGGCAGTTTGAGTGTTTTGTACAATGTGGCAGAAATATATAAATGCATCAGTTTAAAATGTTATTTTTCCAATGAGACAGAGAAAATTGTGATAAAGAGTGCTAAAATGTACGTCTTCCTTCTAATTCAGCAAACCTAAGATAATGCAAGGCCTGACACCCAAAGGTTCCCACTGAAAAAATTCCTATTACATTTGGTATTAAGGTTAAGGCTGTTAAGGCTTTTAAGCTTTAACCTTGCCTCTAACAGAACGGTTACCCAGTTCTGAGCTGATTAAAAACTCTGGTCGTTAACTATTGTCAGATTTGGCACAAAGTGCAACAAGAATAAAATATCTTCTCAACTTTCAGCCATTAACACAGAGGACAATGACAAGACAACTTGTTTAGATGCTTCTAAGCTAGTGTTTGAGATATCGGAGAATCACAGAATGGCTTGGGTTGGAAGGGACCTCAAAGATCATCTAGTTTTAGAGTAGAAGACAAAAGGAGGACATGAAAACAGGAGATGTGTCTCCCCTGTGAATAAAAACTTTGAGCTTTGTAGAACAGCTGTTCACAAGTCAGTATGGCTTGAAATTGCACGGACAGACCTGCGCATAAACTTGTCTTAATCTTGAAGGAGAAGATGATTTCTGGCATCCATCTCTGCATCAGATGTCACTTTCACACTGCCTATAATCATTCCTGCTTTTAATCTTGTGAGAAATATGCTATGAATCAATGAGATTAGTTGTTTAAACTGTGTCTGCTAAAGCTTGACTTGATATGGCTTTGTGAAAGGCAAAAAGCAGAAAAGTTTAAAGAGAAGCAAATGATCTGGAGATGACCAGTATTAAGAAACTAACAGAATCAACCTTGATGTCTGACTTAGCTGGGCAAGTAAGCTGAGACTCAGGCAAAAATTTTGTTCCAGAGAGTTTGTGGGCAGAGAAGAATACAGTGGGAGATAGCGGGAACTGTAACTGAATAATAAGTGGTCCAACGCAACCGCTCGTATGCCAATAACGTGAGGATGGGGCCATTTTCTTTTTTTGGGGGGGGGCAGGAGGAGAGAGGGAGGTTTTGAAGAGTCTTCCAACATCATGTGAAAGAACAGTGGAAAAATGCACTGCTACACAGTGAGCCAAAATAGCGCCTATACAACCTCCAAGTCAAAACATCAAAAACAAAGTAAACACACCAATGGCACAGTACCTGCTGATTCTGCTCCTGTTTTTCTATCAACTGAGTGTCTACCTGATGCTGGTCAATAAATTTTTCAGAAGCCTTCTGTCTAATATCAATTCCTGCTGTGATTGGCCTAGGTGAGGAAAAAAATTACTTATTCGTAATGTTCTCCAACTATCTTTTGTTCAGTAATTCTTATTCTCTTCTTTTCCAACATGAAAAATGTTAGCAAAAGATACAGCATTATTGGACACTGAAGACCCACTCCGAAACATCCTGTTAAAAGTATACATGAATTTTTTTTCCTTTTAGGAACTTTTTGGCTGCTGTCAGTTAGTATGTGTTATACGGTATTTTTTACAATCAACAAGAACATGCTTTAGTAGTTTGACTGATTAAACTTGTTTCTTACCTGTTTCCTAGGTTTCCAGTCTTTACCTTCGTGCTGAAGGGAGATGGAAGAATCTCCTTCATTTGTTCTGTTTGTTCTTCAACTGCAGAAAAAGTTTCAGGGAAAGTCCTTTCTTTTAATTGACTGTTATCTGAGCAGCAGGAAAAAGGTCAATGAAAACAATTTATGCAAGTTTTGACTTTTGAAAATACTTCATAGAATATTTTTAAATTAAATTTGAAAAAAAACCCACACCTACTAATCCTCAAATCTAGCATCTGGGAATAATGAAACAAGAAATAGTGATTTGTACTCCTTGCCTCAAGAGACTTGCAGTGCATAGTTAATGTGATCACTGCAGAATATTACACTGGAGACTCATCACTGGACAGCACTGAAATTCTGTATCTATAAACACGATGACTCACAAGTCAGTTCTTTAAACATTTTAAATAGCAATATTCATAAGCAAGAGACTTTCTAACTGGGCATTTTCCATTCTATTTCACAGAAGCGTGCAAATTTGTTCATCTTCCCATTTAGGTTTACAGGCTATGTTCCGTACAACAAGAAGGCTTCTACTGCATTTAATCATTTATCTAAATGTCACCTAATCGAGACTTGCTCTACAGCTCACGTTGGTCTGTCAATTTTGGGAAAATGCCTTAATTGATTTATTCACACAAAACGCCACTGCTGTTGCCAGAAACCACAGAGGTTGCTTTTTGACACAGACACACCTAGTGCTCCTGAAGGCCTTGGCAACGCACTGTCTTGCAACACAAAACCTTGTAATGCCCTATCAGGTCTCGTGACTTGATTTAGTTCAGGAAGCATAGGGGGTAACATCTAAACCCGTTCTTTTCAGTGACTTAGTGGAAGTGATTTCCTGTATTTCAATCACTGACATTGGTGATACAAAAGTTTTTATATTCTTCCCTCAGCTTTTTCAGCCACGTACCAAAAATCTTCAGTCTGATGACCTATAAAGAAGTGTTATTTCTGCAACTCAGTCACCTGCCATAAACTAGAATTGCATTGGCACAGGCTGCCCAAAGAGGTAGTGGAGTCACCATCCCTGAAGGTTTTCTAGAAAAAGGCAGATGTGACACTGAGGGACGTGGCTGGTGAGCATGGTGGTGATGGGTTGATATTTGGACTAGATGATCTTAGCAACTGAAGGAACTAAGGCTGTTTAGTTTGGGGAAAAGGAGGCTGAGGGGAGACCTTATTGCTCTCTTCCAATATCTGTAAGGTGATTACAGTGAGAGCAGGGCTGGTCTCTTCTCACAGGTGACAGGATGAGGGGAAATGGCCTTAAGTTGTGCCAGGGTAAGTTTAGGCTGGATATCAGGAAACACTTCTTTACAGAAAGGGTTGTTAAGCACTGGAATAGGCTCCCCAGGGAGGTGGTTGAGTCACCATCCCTGAATGTGTTAAAAAACTGTTTGGATGTGGTGCTCAGGGACATGATTTAGCAGAGGCTTGTTAGAGTTAGGGTAGCACAGGTTAGGTTGTGGTTGGGCTCAATGATCTTTAAGGTCTTTTCCAGCCTGAGCAATTCCATGATTCTATGATTCTACAAGTCTAGTATGTAGTAGAAGAACTGGAGGTTGCACAGCACAGCAGGTGGGTTCAAGCAAGGAATGCAGAACCCATGCTTCCTCCTTATAGTCTCATCTGTGAGGCTCTGCTTTATCCAGTCTTTTAGATGGTCTATCTATTTACCTACAAGACAAGTAGCAATGAGAATGGTATAGCAAGAGAAGTGTCTGAGCACTACAATTTTCCCCTAGTTCTCTTCCTGGTGCAAGAGAAGAACAAAAGCATCTAGGCAGCTGTATAATTCACCTTTGTTTTTTGTTCTGGTTTCTTCCTGAGCATCTTGTCTGGAAAGCTGTTTTGTGGGGCTCTCAGTACTCTGAAGCAATGGCTCTGTGCTTATCCCTTTAAATGAAAATTGGAGACGTTAGAAGTACTGCTGGTGCACTCCTGTTCATGTTTCCAGAATTAAAAACCCACCCTCATCACAGCAGTGAGCACCACTCTGTTCAGCCCCATCCTCAAGCACACAATCAGCTGGAGGACATTTCAAAGCCAAGTGCATTGACAAGCTTCCAGTCAGGTGTTAAACCGATGTACTGGGGCTCCTGCACCTTCAAGCCTTAGTTTCTCACACACTTTTCTCACCTTTGTATGCTATATCCATATCCTATGTTTTATTCTTCTTCCCTTAAGCATATCTTACATTCTACCTCACCATACCTCACTCTACCTTACCATTTCCAATTTAATGACTATATATATCCACAAGACCCAATTTCTATTTGTATCAGAAGTAGGATCGCTGAGATTCAGAAATTTTCCAAAATAAAATTTAAAACACTTTAATAGCTTTTGTAACAAACTACCATACAAGCCAGGCCTTCCTCTGCCCTGCAGTAAAATTTGCACCAGCAAGGGCAGAAATTCAGAAGATTTGCACAGCATGCTTATATTTGAGTTCCCAGTGCTTTTCATCTACCTGAATCTGACAGCTGCAGGTGCTCTCCTGAGATTTCTGAGCCGCTCTCATTTGGCACCAGTGGAGGGGAGCTGCTCTGCAGGGCAGAAGGCACTGCTGAGGGAGAGGTCTCTAAGCATCCTGGGCTCTCAACTTGTGAAGAATTTTCAGGTGGCAACTGGGCAGGAGATAAAGTAGAAGGAAAGCATGGAAGGGATGACATCGCGGCTGCTAGATGGGAAGGTATCACAGGAGAAACAGAAAACCCTAAAAATAATGACCAGAGAAGGAAAATTAGAGAAGTTTATGGCAGCTGCTTTGCACTGAACTGGAAGTCTCTGCTAAGCTGGTATTGTGTTACAACACTGTTGCTTTCATGCTCCCTGGTGTTTTGTATTGTGTAGAATGGAATAATGAAACTGTGCTCTTGTTATATACTTTAACTGTAAAATATGCTTGCTGTACATCAGACATACCCCAAATTACCTGAAGTATGCTTAATTAGAGAAAGTACTCCTGAGCAAGTAAAACACATTTCTCCTATGTCTTCTTAAGCACATTAGCAGATATGATTTAAGTATCACAGAGCATCTCTGAAGCGGCCCTTGCTGCACGTTTTATTAGAAGTGGAAAACATATAAATAGTTCTGCAAAGGGACCAGAGACCCAGCTTCACTCCTTCCAGAAAAGAATCCTGTATTGGTCTTACATGGCAAGGTTTTGAGCCCAGCATTACCCTGTGTCAGATCAGAGCAGCTCCAGCTGCTCCAAAGGGACCCAACACTGCCAGAGCTGAGCCATGAGTAATGCTGGGTGTCCTCTGGGAGAGTAGATTTATGAAAGGAAAAAACCAATGTGCAACAGCAGCTGGTAGAGAGGAGTGAGGGATGGGAGAGAAAAGGCCCTGCAGACATCAAGGCCAGTGAAGGAAGGGGGCAGGAGGAGCTCCTGGCACAGACCAGAAGTCCAAAGTCTGTACTTCAAAAGAAATCTATATGGGAGATCTGTTAATAAACATATAAGACTCCTCCTCATATACTTCCTGGTAATGAAAAGTAAAAAATTAAAAGAAACATTTTTCTGGGGTTTACAGTTTGTGCGTAAGTCTATGTGGAGAAATAATTTTAGCCTTACTGCCAGAGGAAGAGCCCCAAGCTACTGAAAATAACAAGACCTTCTCTTTCTTTAAAGAACTGCTGCATTCCACTGCTGGAGTACAAATAATGGCAGATAAGGTTGCTGCAGCATCAGGAGGGATTCCCCAAGTACCTGGGTTGTAAAGTGCAATGATTTTCTGCTGTTCTGCCACCAGCCTCTGCAGCTGCTCCATCTGCAGCCTCAGTGCTCCATCCTGCTGCCCTGCAGTCTGAAATATCATGAAGAGACAGTATAAAACTACATTTTGGAATGATTTTCAATCAGAAAGAATCAATGGCCTTTGGGTTTAGGAATTTCTTAAATAGCGTATTATATTTAACATTGATATTTGCATTTAAAGCTTTTGCCATCTCACAGCTCAGAGCAGATACTGATACAGTGCAGGCAGTGTGTGCCTTAGTGGGTTTTGCTGTTCAGCCTCACATCAGCCAGCATTTTATTCTAGTCTATGTGCCAGGATTTCCTTCACTTGGAAGCTAAAGCATAAACAAGAGGGAAGCATTCATGTCTCGCACCAACAAGCTGAATATCAGCAAGGCAGTTGTTATCTGTCAGGTATAAAACCTTAAAACGTGCCCAGGTTCAACATTTAGTGGCTTGTTGAACTATTTGATAAAGGATACTACCAGAACTGTTGATGAAAATAAGCTTCAAAATTCTCTCAGTCAAATTAACTTACCACACAGAGAAAGAAAAACTTCAACAGCATCCTCTCCTGTTTTTATTTTCTATCCCTTACTATCTAATGGCATTTTTTTATTATGGGAAATGCAAAATTTAGAGCAAGTTTAAGACCAAACTTTTTCATTTTTTCTTTCACAAATACAGATGGTAGAACAGACATAGAAATAATAAAAGATTATGGCAACATAAAATGTTATGAAGTGTACATAGAAATAATAAAAAGCTATGCTAACAAAATGTTAGGAATTTTTCTCAAGTTTACAGCGAAAATGAAAGAAACCCATAAATCAAAGAAAATACCAAAACATATATGAAACTCAAATCAAACATTGAACTTGCTTTCAAGTTTTCCACTGTGCTTGTTAAAAATAAACATCATAAACAATTCAGTTAATTGAGAGGTTTGTGGAATGCTAATTTGGTCACTCAGGCCTGAATTTCAGAGGCACTAAACACAGAAAATTCCTCCCAAAATTTGGGAATTGTCAGCAGAAATTGCAGTGCTCAGGCTGTGTGAAGATAAAACAGAACCTCTGTCTATATTGATCTTAATGTTAATTGTTGCTTTTGCTTAGACACCAACATATGCTAGATATGGGCCTTTTTTTCTACATTGTTTTTTTTTTTTTTATTATGAAGTGCCCGCTCTTATATAGAGCTGAAACTTACAGTGTAAAGTTACCCTAATCTTGTTGCTATGCCTAGAGTTTCCCAAGACTTTGCCTGAAGGAACAATTTAAACTCTAACTGTTCCATCTGGTACTTGATAAGCACAATATAACAAAGTAAGTCACAAATTCAC